GCGCCGGGGCGGTGAGGGGACGGCGCGGCGGGGCCAGCCTTCCCGACTTCGCGGACCCTCGGGCGCAGCAGCCCGCTCCCACCCCCCGCCCGGGCTCCAATGATCCGCAGCCCCGCGCATTTCGAAAGGCTGCCCGGCTCGCCGGAGGGCCGCAGCGGCGCGCGGGACGGGCCAGGCCCCGCAGCTGTTCGCGGGGGTCGCCTCCGCCCTTACCCGGCTGGGCACAGTCCCCCCCATCGCATCCCCGGTGCCTGGGACTGGGACGGGGAGAACTGGGGGAGTGTGGGTTCGGGGACGTGATGGGGGGCTGCGGGGCGGTGGACTTCAACCGAGGGGAGCTGGGCGGCGGCCTCCTGGGCAGGGGTGCGCCCACCGCCCCGGCCGCCCCGAGCGACCTTTTCCCGCAGCGCGGAACGCTGCCTTCGCCATTTCACCGTTATCGTCCGCGCACGCACTTGCTCTTAAGCTCTGCATTAAAAAAAAAAGTGTTTTCAAACTCGTCCAGGGTCTCCGACCTGGTTCTCAGAGCTCGAATGGTGCAAGCCTGCTCTCCCCTTCACCTGGGCCACACCCTACGCCCGCCACCCGCTCCCTTCCAGCCCCAAATCGGGTAACAAACCCGCCAGCTAAGCAGGGGAGAGGGACCGCGGGCGAGCTGGACAACCCCGGGGCACCTCCCGGAGCTGGGCTGGCGTGGGGGTTGGGGCAGGGTGGGGTCAGCCGCAGGCCGAGCCCGCAGCGCTGAGAGCGCAACGTTTCCACCAACACTCTGGTCCCAGCGCGGCCGCTCTCGTTTCCCCGGCCTGTCACGCGTGGGGACACGCACGGGACAGACATCGGGACCCGAGAAATACAACATCAACGCGAAGGGCGCGAAACCTCGACGCGCCTGGGAAGGAACGTGCAGAAAAGGCCAGGAGCGAGGCGCGCATCCGGGACGCGGGGCCCGAGGATTGCATCATTGTGGCTCCCCCTCCAGAAAATGGGCCCCGAACCGCCGCGACCATCATGGCGCTCGGGTCGGGCCGCGCTTCCCGCGCGCAGTCCCAGAGCGCCGGGCCGCGGCCGCCGAGCCTGAAGCGAGCTTTTTGCAAACATTTCTCTCGCTCGCTCTCGAGTGCCGGCCCCCCACCCCTCCTCCCTTTTGTGCGCGTGTGTGTGTGTGCGTGTGTACATACGTGTGTGTGTGCGCGCGCGCGCAGGAGAGAACTTGGAGATTATTTTTTTCCTCTTTTTTCCCTCCCGTGCTGGTGGTTGTAAACTTGATTGGCATTGGCTGCGCCCACTGACCCCTGCGCCGCGTCCATCGAAGATTTAAGGTGGATCCGAGAGGCAGGGGGTTT